TTATGGAGGAAAATAAAGTAGGAAATGGAGAATGGGGATATGGGTCAAGAAAGGCCTCTCCAAGTAGGTGACAAAGACTTGAAGGACATGAGAAAGAGAGCAATATGAATATCTAAGGGAAATGTTCTAGGTTGAGGGAACAGCCAGTGCAGAGGCCCCAAGGCAGAAGCCTTAGAAGAAAAACAAGTGTGGCTGGAGCAGAGTGAAGAAAGAACCACCAGAGGGCTAGATCATGAGGACTTTGTCAGCCTCTGTAAGGACTTTGGAATTATGCTGAGTGAGATGGAGAGCCACTGGAGGATTTTGAGCAGAGGAGGGATATGATCTAACTTACACATTAACAAGATCACGCTGACTGCTTGGGCAAATCTGCTGCAAAAGACCTCTTTAAAGTGTTGAAAAGCGAAGATGTCACTTTGAGGACTAAGATGAGCCTGTCCCAAGCCATGATATTTTCAGTCGCCTCATATGTGTGTGAAGGCTGGACAGTAAATAAGGAAGACCAAAGAAAATTGATGCGTTGAATTATGGTGTTGGCGAAGAATATTGAATATACCACGGCCTGCCAGAAGAATGAACAAGTCTGTCTTGGAAGACGTACAGCCAGAATGCTCTTTGGAAGGAGGGATGGCGAGACTTTGTCTCACCTACTTTGGACATGTCACCAGGAGGGACCAGTCCCTGGAAAAGGACATCATGCTTGGTAGAGGGTGAGCAAAAAAGAGGAAGACCCTCAACGAGATGGATTGACACAGTGGTTGCAACAATGGGCTCAAACATAGCAATGATTGTGAGGATGGTGCAGGACCAGGCAGTGTTTGGTTCTGTTGTACATAGGGTCGCTATTAGTCAGAACTGACTCAACAGCACCTAACGACAACAACAACAATGCTGGCTGCTAGGTTCAGGAGAGCATTGTTGTGGCTAGGACCACAGTGGTAGTGGAAGAAGTGGTGAGAAGTGGTCAAGTGGGGAATATATTTTGAAGGCAGAGCCAATAGGATTTCAGGATGGATAAAATGTGGTGAATGAGAGAAAGAGGAGGCAAAGGTGATTTTCACCTGAAAGAATTAGAGTTTCCCTTGATTAGAGTAGGGAAGACTGTGGAGAGGACAGGATGTTTTGTTTTGGGGTAGGGGGTTGGCATAATGATTATGTATCCAGTTTGATGGTTAGAGAGCCAAGATCAGAGGACCTTAGAATTTTATCATTGCAGCATCCTCCCAATGGCATCCTCAGATATTGCAGATCTCAAAATTATAAAGACATATCTGCCCACAGCACTGGGACCCAGCACTTTCTCTTGGAGAATTACTGGGTCTGGCTTGGGTTTTTGGTAAGCAGAGACCTTGAGAAGTGGCCGTGGGAATTCCTAAAGGTCAGCACCTGTTGTGCTGGACCTTCCTGCTGGCACAAACCCTCACATATCGATCTTCCTTCCTGGAGTCACTCCCTTTCTATCTTATATCACTTGTCACTGCCATCACCTGCTGATTTCAAGCAGGATTTCTCTCCTCTAACCACTGAAAGATTTGTATGGTTAGTAATAATGGGAACATATGTACTTTGACAATTGGTTCTCTTCTTTATTCTCCCCTGCCCCATCTGTTTCATTATCTGTTTTGATCTGATAAGTGAGAACTTTTGTCTTCCCTAGGTGATACTGATGTGTATTCTCATGCATAAAAGAATCAGGACTAATCTACATTTTGAGAAACTACATTTGCTGAGGGAAAGAACTCTGGTATTTCTGGGCATTTTGGCATAGAGCTGGGGAAGAGGTTTAAGGTAAAGAGGGGCCACAGATAAAGTATATTAAAGTTTTGTTTTTAAAAAGGGACCCCAGTGGTGAGGAAGGAAGGAGAGTGCTGAGTGCTGCCCTTTTCTCTTCCTGCCTGCTTTTCAAGCTCTTCCACTGTTTGCCTGTTACTACCAGTCCTGCTCCCATGACCTGTCTTTAGACCAGGTGAGATGCAGGCACCTGCTAGTGCAGGGAAGCATGGGACACATTAAGGAAGAAGGAAGAGTATTTCTGAATTCCAGAGCTCTCAGTTTGAATAGTAATTTCCTGATAGTCACTGAGATATAAGGGGTTGTTTAAGATGGCTGTCTGTTGGTAACTGCCTGTGTGCCTTGTGGTTGACTCATTAGGGGTAAGGGGTAGGCTGTTTAGGGACTGGTGAGGTATGGCCTCTGCTTGGAGCACAGGATGGTGGGGTAGGAGACAAGAAAACGCCCTTGGAGCACAGGATAGTGGGGTAGGAGACAGGAAATGTGATTGAAGCCAGATCACAAAGCCTGGTAGACATACTTAGGAATTTGTCTTATCCTGTGGGCAATGGGGATAAGCCCTGAAGGTTTTGAGCCTGGGTAATAGCAGTGCCACACCTCGGTTTTAGAAAAGTAATCCTGATGTCTGTAGGAGACTGTGTAGAAGAGGAAAAACCAGAGACAAAGGGATTGGTTAGAAGGTGGTTAAAATAGTGTGTGAGAGAAAGTGAGGGCCTGGACTATCAGTGGGACTTGTGAGGATGGGACCGAAGGGAAGCTGAGCTAGAGGAAGAGAAGTGAGAGGATCTGGTGACTGAGCAAAGACGGGCATGAGGGAAGAGTGAATGGCAAGAGTGCAATGGCCCTATAGTAGAGATAGTGAGGGCGGGAGGCAAGAGGACTTCAATGTGGGTGACAATGAGTTTGAAATGCCTATAGGATACCTGGAGTCCCTGGGTGGTACAAACGGTTAACGTACTTAGCTGCTAACTAAAAGGTTGGCGATTCCAGTCTACCCAGAGGCACCTTGGAAGGTCTGGATATCTACTTCTGAAAAAATCAGCCATAGGAAACCCTGTAGATCACAGTTCTACTCTGACACACATAGGGTTGCCATGAGTCAGTTGACTCGATTGGGAACTGTTTATTTTTTTACAGGATATCCACATGGGGAAGATAAAGTTCCTGGGAATTGTCTTCTAGAGCTGCTTTGCAGGCAGGTGGAAAAACAAGGCGAGCTCAGAGAGATTCAGGAATTAGAGAAAGACTTGGGAGTTCTGGGCATAATTTGTGGTGATTGAGGAGACAGATAAAAGCAGGATTTGGGCTGTGGGAGATCATCACTCTGCCTGTTTTACACACATTTCCTTTAGAGACATTTTTGCCAAGGCATGTTTTGTGCTGGGAAAATGATGAAAGATAGTTGTGCTTCTGAACGGACTGAATTATTTGTCACTAAAACAGTAACAGCTCAGCCATTACTCATGAAGCAGCCATACCAGTCATACACACAAGCACTTCTCTTGGAATTTCAAGTTCTTTTCAGCAGTTTGTTGAAAACAGATCCATGACAGAATTTGTGCTAGTGCAAAATAGCTCATCCTGTTAACTAATCCTCCAGGTATCTTTCCGGGTCTGAGGAACATGAATAGGCCTGACCAGCCCCTGCTTCCCCTCAGACTGGAGCTTCAGAAGCCCTGGTTTCATGCTTTAGTGTTAAGTACCTTTAGTTTTTAATTTCCTGCCAAATCTGTTCAGCTACCTCAGCATAATCATACAAACCTGGTTTGGTGGCTTAGGAATACTTGATTACAGGGGGTTGCAAATCTCTTCACACTATAACTTTGTTTATTACTATAACTTCATTTATTATGGACACCTTGTGAATAGAGAATTGTAATAATAAAGCTCATTATTGAAGTACTCATTAGCAAGGTAACTTGCTTTTTTGGGACTATGCCGATACTAAGTTATAATTTTCAGTTCCCACTGTTCTTAATGGGCAAATTGTTAGCCAGCCCTTCAAATACTTTGTTGCATGAGTAATTACGTTACTTGACAACAGTGGCACTGCTTCATATCTGTATCATGCAATTCTTGTAAAGCTGTAATTGCTAATTCATTGCTCTGATTTAAAGGGTGTGATACCCCCACCCCCCACCCCACCCCCACGTATAAGAGTTTGATAACATTTACAGAAACAAGAAGCCAGCACCAGAAGTGATCCAACTAGCTTTTCGTTTCTTGTTGAGCTTCTTACTTAGCTCTCCTGTGAGCCTGGAGAATCCCCCCTGCACTGGCAGGCTATCCCTCCAGCTGGCCCACTGTACTTACCGTGATTGAAATCAATCATGGGACTGCGATTTTGATGACATTGTTCTGTTGGGGAAATTAGCACGAATCCTTCCCCGTCCACAGAATGTGTTGAAAGGGATTACTTGTGGAAAGAGATTTGGGAGATAATTTTATACATTCATTTGGTGTTTGTCAATTTTTTTCTTTGACAAACTCGGGGGAAAAAATGCAATTGATAATGTTTGTCTTAGAAAGTAGATAATTTTATATGTTAACTTGCACATTTATGTGATGAAATTTTTTTTATACACTGAATTAGAAGGGTGATTTTTCTAAACAAACAAACTGATCTACTTTGTTATATGTCTTTTTATTTATTTAACATACACATCTTTTTCTTGACTTCTCAACTGGTCTATAGACTCTTGAAAAAGAGACAAGTACTTCTGCTTTTGTATTCCCCATAATTCCTATCATAGTATTAGGTCTGTAATAAAGTATTTTGTAGTAAATGTGTTTGGCTGAAACTCAAGCGTAGTGTAAAATTCATATTTCTTCTTTTCAAAATCTGGATTTCATGTAGACTTAGAGGGAATTTCAGCACCTAACCACCTTAATATTTGAGTCTACTTATACTTTGTACATGTCCATATTTGTACTTCTGGTGTGCCGAGGTAGTTCTGTGATATTATTAGAGAACAGTACTCAAAACTCATGATTGAATTGGTATATTGTAAAGAAGTTTTTGCTAATTGATTTTGAAGAAACAGTTGGGCTGCAACAGGATTGTTCTATGGCATCTGACACAATGTTATTTGCATGGGTCATTTCAGCAAGGTAGCACTGACAATGCCATTATTTGCTATGTATTCTCCGTAACTTAGTAGATACATTTGAGCATCTGAAGCTGAAGAGTAATTCTCTGTTTGTTGTAGGTCTCATCAGAAAATTGAAGATGCCGAAGAAACCAGTGATGAAATTCTTGCTCGTCTAACATCTGCGGTAAGGCCATTGCAGTTTCCCTGCCTAGAAGTGCAAAAATAATGAGGCCAGGGTCTTTGAAGAGAGAGTTGGGATCATGGTGTAGGCAGGCACTCACCCTGTGGCTGCTCATTATGGTGGGAGGCCCAAGTCAAGTCAAGGCAAAACGAAACAGAGCATTGACTTTCTGTACCTCCACTGAGAGATCTTAGATATTCCTGGTGGAAATTTCATGGTACCTTAGCGGAGGCGTAGTATCTGATTTTTTAAATACAGTATAATTTAACCTAGGAAAAGTTGTGACCTACTGCACAAAGGAGAAAACATTCTTTGTTTTTTGCTAGGAACAAAACAGTTGTCTTAGGCAAAGATTTTGGCTTTTAATGTACTATGTTGCAACATTTTCACTGTGCGTTTTAAGCCACTAATCGGACTTGGTAATTGCCTTCTTGGTTGAAGGAAATCCCATAACTTTCTTCATAGAAAAAGCTGGCTGTAGTCGCTAATCACAGAGCTCCAGTGTTTTTGTTGTGGTTGTTTTGTATCTAGTGGGGTTTTTTTTTTGGGGGGGGTGGGGTGGTGTTCCTTTGTTTATTTTTATTTTGGTAAAATGTAAGATTTGCCATTTTAATCATTATCAAGTGTACAGTTCAGTGGTATTAATTACATTCACGCTGTTGTGCAATCATTACCACTATCTATTTCCAAAATTCTTTCATCCTAAATTCGTAACCATCTAGTTTGAACCATCTTAACTTCAATAGCATACAAAAATTCTGCCCCTATAGCTTCACCCCTGCCCCTTTTATATTGTTGTTTTCATCACAAATGACGTCTTTCTGCAATGTTTGACCAATAATACATATAGATTTATAATGACTTGTTATGTATTTGCTTTTTAAACCATGTAGAAAATAAGTAGAACTATAAACCAAAAATACAATAATACCGACTTTTATATTTACCCACGTGGTTCTCTTTACCAGAGATCTATATTTCTTCATTAAGGTTTTGGTTACTTTCTAGCGTCCTTTCCGTTCAACCTGATAGACTCCATGTAGTATTTCTTATAGGGTCGATCTCATGGTAATGAACTCCCTCGGCTTTTGTTTGTTTGGGAAATGTCTCAATTTTATCCGTGTTTTGAAGGACAGTTTTCTCGATACAGAATTCTTGGTTGATAGTTTTTTTTTTTTTTTCTTTCTTTCTTTCATCACTTTAAATATGTCATTCCATTGCCTTCTGGCTTCTATGGTTTTCTGATGAGAAATTAGCTGTTAATCTTATTAAGGGTGTCTTGTACATGATGAATCACGTCTCTCTTGCTGCTTTCAAGATTCTCTGTTTTTGTCTTTCAACAGTTTGATCATAATGTGTCTCAGTGTAAATATCTTTGAGTTTATCCTACCTGGAGTTCATTGAGCTTCTTGGATGTTTAGATTCATGTCTTTGATCAAATTTGGGAGGTTTTGGCCATTATTTCTTCTAATATTCTCTTTTTTTCCCTCTTCTTCCTTCTGGAACTCCCATAATGCATAACTTGATCTGCTTGATAGTGTCCTGCAGGTACTTTAGACTCTATTCACTTTTTCTTTTTCATTCTTTTTTTGTTTTCCTTTTCCTCACACTGGATAATTTTTATTGTCTTATCTTCAGGTACACGGATTCTTTCTTCTGCCTGCTCAAATCTTCTCTTGAAGCCCTTTATTGAAGTTTTTCCTTTCAGTTTTGTACTTTTCAGCTCCAGAATCTTATTTGGTTTCTTTTCATAATTTCTTTCTCTTTATTGACATTCTCATTTGTTCATACATTGTTTTAGTTCCTTGTCCATGGTGTCCTTTAGATCTTTGAGTATATTTAAGACAGTTGTTTTTAAAGTTTTTGTCTAGTAAGTCCAATGTCTGGGCTTCCTCAGGGACAGTTTCTGTCAATTTATTTTGTTCCTTTGAATACATCATATTTTCTATTTCTTTGTATGCTTTATGTTTTTTTGTTGTTGTTGCAAACCAGACATCTGAATATTATAATGTGATAACTCTGGAAATCAAATTTTCCCTTTTCCCAGGATTTACTGCTTTACTTATTTATTTTTTGATTGTTGAAGGCTGTAGTCATCCACTGGTTTAGTGAATTTTCCAAACTATTTTTGCAAAGAATATTCCTTGTCATGTGTTTTCACTTATGTTCTATTCCTTTAGCTTGTGTTTAGCAACTGTTTTGACAGAGATTACTTTAAAATCCAGGAGCTTAAAAAAACCACACACATACACAGAACAACAAAACAAAAATCTTTCCCAGTCTTTGCAGATTGGCTCTGGGCTAGGTCACTCCTTCAGTACTTAACAAGGCTCGGACTTAGCCTAGAGATCAACCATAGGTGAAAAATTAGGGTTTTCTCAGATCTTTTCTCAGCATATGTCTTGCCCTGGGTATACAGGTGCTTTTGAATATCCTAATTTCGAAAGAAACTCTCCCCAGCTATTCCTTTGAGGGTTTAGGTGGTCTATTGTATATTTCAACCATAATCTTTTGTCCCTGATGGCTGCGATTGTTAGTTAGACTTACGTATTTTTGAGCAATGCTTGCCACTTTTCTGCCCAGTGTGGGTTCCGTGTTAGGCTAAATAGAGACAAATAACTTGCATTAATCCTTCAGGTAGCTCCCGGACTGGTTAAAACAGACAAGTACAATAATTTATTAAAAAGGTCGACTTTGCCGTCTCTGGATCCTAGGGATCAGGGTCCCATACAGGGAGCACAGGCTGCCGTCTTCAAGACTGCTGCTGAGCGAGGGAGGGGGTGGGACAAGGACAAGAAAAAGCACCACAAAACTTTCCTACCATTTTTTAAAATTTTCATTTATTTGTTTTTGTTGTTGTTGTTGTTGAGAATATACACAGCAAAACATACACCAATGTAACAGTTTCTCCATGTACGGTTCGGTGACATTGATTACACTCTTCAAGTTATGTAACCATTTTCACCCTCGTTTTCTGAGTTGTTCTTCCCCCATTAACATAAACTCACTGCCCCCTAAGGTTCCTATCTAATCTTTCCAGTTGCTGTTGTCAGTTCTTAGAGGAGCATAATGCTCAAAGAGGATATTTTTTACTAGTTAAGCAAAACTATTTTTGGCTTTAAGAAGACTTCAGGGGATATTTTTGGTTTATGGTTTAAAGATTATCTCAGGGCAGTAGTTTTAGGGGTTCATCCAGCCTCCACGGCTCCAGAAAGTCTGGAGTCCATGAGAATTTGAAATTCTGTTCTGCATTTTCTCCCTTTTGACCAGGATTCTTCTACAGAATCCTTGATCGAAATGTTCAGTAATAGTAGCTTGGCACCATCCAGTTCTTCTGGTCTCATGACAAAGGTGGCAATTGTTCACAGAGACAAGTAGCCACACATTTCATATCTTACTCCTATTCCTGACTCTCCTTCTTCCTCTGTTGCTCCAGGCAAATAGAGACCAATTGTTGTGCCTTGGCTGGCTGCTTACAAGCTTTTAAGACCCCAGGCACTACTCAACAAACTAGGAGGTTGTCTTAGTTATCCAGTGCTGCCATAACAGAAATACCACAAGTGAATGGCTTTAAGAAAGAGAAATTTATTCTCTCATAGTCTAGGAGGCTAGAAGTCCAAATTGAGGGTCCCAGCTCCAGGGGAAAGCTTTCTCTCTATTGGCTCTCAGGGAAGGTCCTTGTCATCAATCTTCCTCTGGTCTAGGAGTTTCTTCACACATTAACCCCAGGTCCAAAGGCCACGCTTTGCTCCTGGCACTGCTTTCTTGGTGGCATGAGGTTCCTCTGTCTCTCTGCTTACTTCTCTCTTTTATATCTCAAAAGAGATTGATTTAAGATACAACCCAATCTTGTAGAATGAGTCCTGCCTCATTAACTTAACTGCCTCTAATCCTGCCTCATTAAAATCATAGAGGTAAGATTTACAACACATACGAAAATCACATCAGATGACAAAATGGTGGACAATCACATAATACTGGGACTCATGACCCAGACAAGCCAACACACATTTTTGGGGGACACAGTTCAATCCATAACTGAGGTAGAACAGAAGCACTAAATACATTATTAGGCCAACTAACGGGATGTTCCACAAAACCATGACCCTCAACCTCCAAATCTAGGAACCAAATCCCATGATGTTTTTGGTTGTATATAGCAACCTCAGCAGCTACTTTTCTACCATTTTTAAGTTGACTTTTTCTTCATTCAGCATTCACATGGTTACTGTAAACCCTTGACTGTTTTCCAGAGTTCTAATAAAGTTGGTTCTGACAGTTCCTGCTTATTTTTCAGTGTTTCTGTGGAGTGACGGGAGCTTAGAACTGCCTGTTCTGTCATTTTGCTGACGTCACTCCAAGCTCCAGTTTTTGACAAGCCCTAGCAATCCTGTCTCACAAAATCTTTCTTCATTGGCTTGGCTTTTTGGAAACTTTCTCAGCTTCCCCAAAGATTCTTTAGTTCTGCTTTAACAGCATTATTAAAATGGTAATTGCTGAAGATCACACTAAATTTGGGTATTATGTGGATGGGATTTGGGATTATATGGATAAAACTAGTTCTTGGCATCTGAGCACAGCTTACCTTTCCTACTCTCCTTGAATATAGCTTAGAAAAGTTGCTTTTTACTAAGTATGATAAGTGGTATAGGATGTGTGTGAAATGGAATCTTTATAGCCTGCTATGAAAAATATTTAGCATGACATTTGCAATTTTTTTTTATATATATATTTTATTGTACCTCAGGTGAAGGCTTACAGAACAAATAGTTTCTCATGAAACAGTAGTACACATGTTGTTTTATGACATCGGTTAACAACCCCACAACATATTAACC